AGTATCAGTCGGCTATGCCGAAATACATTTTGACCCTTTATTGAGGTTCTAAAGCAGTAGGCCAACAGGAAGAAGTACTGGGATGTGTGATATTTAGAAAGAATTGGACGCTTATTTCGCATTTTTTGAGCGTTTGGTTGTGTAAAATGTTGACCCCTTTGTGGGGGTGGTACCAGAAGGAGTTGACAGCTATATCCCATCTTCCCATCACATCTCGTGTTAATAAAAATAATTAATAAAACAATAAGTTCGACCGGCTGGGTGAAACATTAGAGCCCATTATGACCAACAAATATCGATTTTTAGACAAATCCGTGAAAAAAAAAATGTGACAAAAATCATCAAAATATACCTCTGCATACAATGTTTTGCCAACGGAGCTAGAACCCATTATAACCAACGAATACCAATTTTTTAGACAAATCCTCGAAAAAATGAGGCAAAAATCATCAAAATACCGAATATCGGGAAGGTGCTATACAAAACGTGGACCTATATGTACAATGTTCCACCACACTAGCTAGAACGCATTATCACCTACAAATACCAATTTTTAGACAAATCCGTAAAAAATGTTGGAAAAATAATCCAAATAACGAATTTCAGGAGGTATAACTCAATTATTCAAAATTTTGACCTGTTGTGGGGGAAGTACTTGACGGAGTGAGCCGATATTTTCACACCTGATATAGCACTACAATACAAATATTGGTATACTGTGAAAATTTAGACCTTTTGTGAGGGCGGTAACAAAATAAATGGACCGATACTGACCATCACCGAACCCGATTTTAGCTTCACAATAATATTACGATGTATCAAGGTTGGATCAAACCGAATACAGAGTTATCGTGAGCACCAGCCAGCCAGAAAGACACCCCTAGATTGACTTCAAATGTCCTGAAACGGATTTGGTTCAAATAGACCTAGGGTCTAAAACCTTTATTTCTCTCTAGCCATACAGGGTGAGATAAAAACTCCAACAAAGTCAAACGTCATAATTATTACATTTTTTTTTAATTTATTGAATGAATGCAAAAAATGTCGAAAATAGCATCAAATTTTAGAATAAGTTTAGATTTGTTCGAATTGGTCACCTTTGGTACGAATTATGGCCTTCAAAAGGCAAATAAAACCGTCACATGCTGCCCGAATGTTGGTCTGCGATATTTTGGCCTATTCCCGGCGAAACGCTTACTTGAGGTGATTGACACTTTGGTATTTTTTAGTGCCAACCTTGCTTTCCAAAATACGCGTGCTGAGTGCGATGGTGCTGAGTCCTGTTGGAATGTCCAAGGTCTGCCGCCAAAATGTTTGCGTGACCAAGGCTTTAATAAACCAAAATATTTTCGCGATAATATTCGGCACTAATTCGAATGCCACGGTCGATTAATACGAGCGGAGAGCGACCACCTGCTGTTATGACGGCCCACACCATCAACATGGCCGGCGCTTGAGTTCTGGTGGCCAACCGAAGGTGCACATTTTCAGCTGACCTTTTTGGCAAGTAAACACGATCATTTTGTTTGTTTACAAACTGCTGGACAACGAATGTTTTCTCATCGGAGAAAACCAATTACGGCAGTCCACTACTTTTAGGCCAAGCGAAGCAACTCTTTAGCTCTTTTGAGTCTATTTTCTTTCTGTTGCGGTGTAAGTTCTTGCACCTTTTGGAATTTCAATGGCTTTACCCCGAGCTCATTTTTCAATATTTGCCGAATGGAATATTGCGATATGTTCAGCTCACGAGCCATTTTTTCGGCCACTGCGACGCGGGTTTCGATCAAGTCGCTTCTTTACTTTTCGAACCATTTCTGCTGATATTGCTGTTTTCTTCCGTCCACTTCCTTGATGTCGGGCTACGCTACCAGCATCCCGATAACGAGCGATGGTACGAAGCACAAAATATTTATTCATATTTAATTGTTGGATTGCTCTAACGATAGCTACTTGTGGTTTTCCGGCAAAATTTAAAGAAATCACATTATCACGCTTGAATTCCATCACGAATAATTTTTTTTTTCTGGATAATTCTCACCAAAATGTTTTTGTACACTTGTGAACAATATAATGAACTGTCACTGGAATAATTTTAACAGCTGTCGGACGAGTGGCTTAGAAATGACAGCAGTCTGAAGTTGGTTGCAGTTTTTTCAACTGTACGGCGATCCATCGAATTACAATGAAGGACCGACCATTCAAGGCCAGATATGCACCCCTAAACCCGGCTATGCAGACTATTATAGATAAATAAATAAACAAGCTTCTAACATAAGGATACATAGAGTCCTCACATAGCCCATACAGTCCCAAATTACGTTGGCACAAAAAAAACGGGACGTGGCGACTATGTACGGACTTTAGAAAACTCAACAGCCGATCGGAGGAGGGCAGCAGGAAATATGCTGCATTCACTGTTGCAGGACGAGGATTATATCAATGGAAAATCTTGCCTTTTGATCTTCACACGGCACCCGAAATTTTTCAACAGGCATCGGATAGCGTTATCAGGCCAGAAATGGAGCCACAGTGGTTTGCGTATTTAGATAATATTGTGGTTATCGGAAGAACATTTAGTGAATCTGCGGACTGCGTTCCAGCGGTTGCGAGGAGCCTGATTACGCATCAATCCCGACAAATGCGAGTTCTTTAAACGCGAGGCAAAATACTAAGGTCACGTAATTAGCGGGGAAGGCATTCAGACTGGCTCGACAAGATTGCAGCCATCCAGGGGATTGAGCCACCAAAAACGCTTAAGGAGTTATGGCGTTTTTTTGGGGGTAGTTTCTTGGTACTGGAGGTTTGTACCCGACTTTGCCACTATTGCCCAACCCCTAATGTCTCTTCTTAATAAGGGAAAACATTGGAAATAGACGGAAAATCAACGGACAGTGTTGCCCTGACTTTGCATGGAGATTTGTCCTCCAGACTGACGCTAGTGATCACGGACTTAGGCGGTTCTAACCCAAACTTTCGACGAAGATGAATGAGTTATAGCATATCCCCATAATTTGGTAATGGAAGATGTTGCTGGGTCAAAAATATTCTATAATTAGAACAAATATTTCTATGAACTTTAAGCTGACTCTTGATGACAGTTTGATTGCTCAGGTCAAAATGTGTTTTACACATCTGTTCTGTAATGAGATTTCTTGAATCTATTATTCTGGAGTCTGAGTCTTGCAGAAAAAATCATGATAGAAACCCGATATTAAGAGAAAAGTCTTGAGATAAAAGAAATAAATTATATAAAGAAATCTGCCTTAAAATTCCTTAAGGCATTTACAAACCTAAAACCAGTAAAGAAAGCCTTAAAGTCGGGCGGGGCCGACTTTATGATACCCTACACCACTTTGCTAATTTAGTAGAATTAAAAGTTTTTATGGGAGAATTCAATCATACACTCTATGATTATAATTATAATTTAAGGTTCAAAGGACTTAATATGTCGAAGCATTTGTATCTTTTAAATTCGGACTTGTATTGCCCATTTGGTGCACAATTAATTTGAAATCGGATAAAGATATATATGGGAGCTATATCCAATTCGGAACCGATCTCGATAGAATTTGACAAAGATATTTCTGAGCTGTATTTGATATATTTCCCTGAATATCGTTGTTACGGAGTGCATATTACGGCTGTGGGTAACAAATACAACAAATCGGATGAACAATATATATGGGAGCTATAGCTATATCTGAACCGATCTTCACCAAATTTGGCATACTAGCTTCTAGACTCAATTCGGTCGCATGTGCCAAATTCCATCCCATTTGGGCAAATATTAGGCGTTTGGTGTACAATAAAAGGTAAATCGGACGAAGTTATATATGGGAGCTATATCCAAATCTGAACCGATCTCGATAAAATTTGGCAATATTTCCCCAAATATTGTTGTTACAGAGTGCATATTACGGCTGCGGAGTACAAAAATAACAAATCGGATGAACAATATATATGGGAGCTATAGCTATATCTGAACCGATTTCGATAAAATTTGGCATACTTATTTTCAGGCCTAATTTGGTTGTATGTGCAAAATTCCATACTATTCGGGCTGATATTACACGTTTGGTGCACAATAAAAAGCAAATCGGACGAAGATATATATGGGAGCTATATCTAAATTTTGACCGACTATCTCCAATTTCAATAGGGTTCGTCCTTGGGCCAAGCAAATGATCTATGCAAATTTTCATCTGGATCGGGCAATAAATGCGACCTGTACTTTGTTTACAAAAATACATGGACAGACGGACAGACGGACGGACGGACATGCATAAATCGACTCAAAATGTGATTCTATGCAGATCATCAAAAGGAACTATAGGTCTATCTCGCACAAAGACATAATACCCTGACCACCTTGTGGTGTAGGGTATAGGTATGGTATATAATAAAAATAAAATTGCTTGTATATCCAAATATTTTTATATCTAAGATCTCGATTTCAATAAAAAATTAGGGTTTTGTTAACATTTTCCCAAATAGACATACATTTTGCAAAAGGGATTTTTGGACATGCTAAGTTCGGTTTCCAAAACTTTTTTTTTTGGCGTTGTGTGAAAAATCTTAATTGTTTTCGTATGCTAAAAAATGTTTTGCTACCCACTGCGGCTTAAACAATTTGTTTCTTTTGATCATTTTCTTTTTCTTCTTCGGCTATGCTTGAAATATTTTGCAATACTCAGTGGTGATGACGATAATGAGCCAAACGACGACGATGATGATGATGATGATGAAAATAAAGTTTTGAAATATTTTAAAACGAGGTATTTATACATATTTTAAACCCTGCTGTTCAGAGCTGTTACATTGCGAAAGAAAAGAAGTGGGAGCCGAAAAAAAAATCAGACACTTTGCATGTTGCAATTGCAGAAAAAAAAATAACAACAACGCATGAGCGACACAAAAAGAGAGCAATAAACTAAACGAAAGGTATAATGGAGAAAAGGAGAAAAACAAGAAAAAACACTTTTCATGAAAGTCAAACTTACCTTAAAGTTAAAAAAAAACAGTTTTTTGAAAATTCAAACAAATCAAATCGATTTGAGGGTTAATCCAACTTTCAGCAGGCGAAAGGCGAAAATAATTTAAATTCAAATTTTGAAAATCCTACAAAAAAATCGATATAAAATAAAAGGAAGAAATAGTAGAGCGTGTTTTAATAACTTGTTTATTTATTTTATGTTGTAGTCGCGTTACACCAAAGAAATTAATGAAAATAAAATTGGAAAAGAAATGAAAGAGGAAAATAATGGAAATATGGAAAAACGACAATAAACGTTACAAGTCACACACTTAATGGTTACACACGCACGCGTAGATGTTTGAATGTATGATTTTTTTCTTTGTTTTTAACGAACGAAATATCCAGACACTTGTTAATAATTTTTTTTCGGGGTTTTCTTTTTCAATTTCCTTTAAATAAAATTATGTGGAATTTTTTTTTGCTTAACAAACACTTGGTTTTTATTTAAAAACAATATTTATTTTGTTTTTCTCTTTAATTTTCTTTATATTTTTATATTTGTTTTACTAACTTTTTACTTTTTGATTTTTTTTTTTTGTGTTTAGCTAAATTTAGTTGGTTTTTTCCACCAACCAAATATTTGTTAATTTTTTTTGTTCAAATCAAAATTCAATGCGCAGACGTCTTTAAAAACCGTTCACTTGACTGCTCATTTGCAGACTAACTTGGCCGTATTGTTGGCCAACTTCTTGTTGGCTCATAAACTCTGCCATTCAGCCAGTCCCGCCAGTCGTTGCTTGTAGTGGTGGCTTAAGGTTGGTCGCATTGACGGTGACGGTGACGCTCAGCTGGTTTCTTCTCTTCTTCATGGCTAACAACTGTCATTGCAGGTTAATTGTGAATGAGAAAGAGTGTACGCAGAGTGATTATTATGCATCAAATGCATTGCCTGCTTTGTTTGTTGCTATTATGTGTTGGTGTTAGTTTTGCTTAACCGGGGGGACAGTGGTTAAAGGGTATATTGAGTATAACTTCAATAAGAAAATATCATTATACCCTACACCACAAGGTGGTCAGGGTATTATGTCTTTGTGCATTTGTTTGTAACAGGCAGAAGGAAACGAGATAGACCCATAGTTCCTTTTGATGATCTGCATAGAATCGCATTCTGAGTCGATTTATGCATGTTCGTCCGTCCGTCTGTCCATGTATTTTTGTAAACAAAGTACAGGTCGCATTTATTGCCCGATCCAGATGAAATTTTGCAAAGATCTTTTGTTTGGCCCAAGGACGAACCCTATTGAAATTGGAGATAATCGGTAAAAATTTAGATATAGCTCCCATATATATCTTCGTCCGATTTGCCTTTTATTGTGCACCAAACGTGTAATATCAGCCCGAATTGTATGGAATTTTGCATATACACCCAAATTAGGCCTGAAAATATGTATGCCAAATTTGATCGAAATCGGTTCAGATATAGCTATAGCTCCCATATATATTGTTCATCCGATTTGTTATTTTTGTCCACCGCCGCCGTAATATGCACTCTGCAACAACAATATTTGGGGAAATATATCAAATACAGCTCAGAAATACATTTACTAAATTTTATTGAGATCTGTTCAGATTTGGATATAGCTCCCATATCTAACTTCGTCCGATTTACCTTTTATTGTGCACCAAACGTCTAATATTTGTCCAAATGGGATGGAATTTGGCACTTACGACCGAGTTGAGTATAGAAGCTAGTATGTCAAATTTGGTTCAGATCGGTTCAGATATAGCTATACCTTCCATATATATATTGTTCATCCGATTTGATGTATTTGTTACCCCCAACCGTAATATGCACTCCGTAACAACGATATTCAGGGAAATATATCAAATACAGCTCAGAAATATCTTTGCCAAATTTTATCGAGATCGGTTCAGATTTGGATGTAGCTCCCATATATATCTTTATCCGATTTCAAATTAATTGTGCACCAAATGGGCAATACAAGTCCGAATTTAAAAGATACGAATGCTTCGGCATATTTAGTCCTTTGAATTTTAAAATATAATTATAATCATAGCGAGTATAATTGAATTCTCCCATAAAAACTTTTAATTGTTATGTGAAGCTCTACTTAATTAGAAAAGTGGTGTAGGGTATCATAAAGTCGGCCCCGCCCGACTTGAAGATTTTCTTTACTGGTTATTTTGTATATAGCATTCTGAAATATAGAGAAGTAAGCAAAGGCAGGTCGTGTGATTCCCTACAACACTATAATTCTGATGTGATACCCTTGGAACAGAATGGGTGAACTCCTCTAAATTTTTGGGACATATATTTGGCCTACTTGATAAAAATAATTTAAAATGTCAAGTATGGAGGTGGTTTTAAAAGTGTGTATTACAATTGTACGAAAAGTACTAAATGGTACTAAATTTGATATTGAGTGATGGGATAGAACTTAAACAGTGACATTTTATATTGCCATAGCTGTTGGAGGCTAGGATTGAGATATTGATCAGTTTTAAGTACTCAAATTATACGAAAAGCACTAAATTGTACTAAATCTAGTATTGAGTGAATATTAAGCTGAAATCCCAAAATTTCTATTGGTATCTGGCAATGGTGGGATTGAGGTCACTGTTGGGATTGAGGTCACTGTTGAATTCCAGGGTTTACATATGGAGACGTTCAAAAAGTTTTGGATAGTAAAAATGGATGTGAGTCAATTTTGCATAACATCTTCCTCGGTAAACATCGAATTGAAAGATTTTAAAGACGTTTTGTGGTAAAAGGTTTTATTTTCCGGTTATTCTTTCTGAAAAAGGAAAGGAAAAGGAAATTTTGCTACCATATCCAACCGTTGAAACCAAGATAGACCTCATTATCAAATTTCAGGATTCGAGCCCTATCCATTCACTCAACGGCAAATTTATTAGCATTGGTTGCTTTTAGAACAATCATAGTACTCATTCCCAAAACTATCTCTTTCTCTCAAAACTGTATACCAACATTGTACTAAATCTAGTATTGAGTGAATATTAAGCTGGAATCCCAAAATTTCTATTGGTATCTGGTAATGGTGGGATTGAGGTCACTGTTGGGATTGAGGTCACTGTTAAATTCCAGGTTTTACATATGAAGACGTTCAAAAAGTTTTGGATAGTAAAAATGGATGTGAGTCCATTTTACATAACTTCTTCCTCGGTAAACTTCGAATTGAAAGATTTTGAAGACGTTTTGTGGTAAAAGGTTTTATTTTCCGATTATTCTTTCTGAAAAAGGAAAGGAAAAGGACATTTTGCTACCATATCCAACCGTTGAAACCAAGAGAGACCTCATTATCAAATTTCAGGATTCGGGTCCTATCCATTCACTCAATGACAAATTTAGTACTCATTCCCAAAACTATCTCTTTCTCTCAAAACTGTATACCAACATTGGCCTACACATCAAATTTCAGAATTCCAGCTCTATTCTAAAACCCAATCCCAAATTCCAACGGCAAATTTTTTGTACAAATTCCAAAACCACTACCTTTTCTCATCTACAGACATCAATATCAAATTTTCAGAAATCTGCCTCTAACCCTACACCCAGCACCAACTTTAGTAGCACTTAGTACTTTTCGACACATTTCCAATACCACACACACATATCTTAACCACAGACACCAACAGTGGAATCTATATCAAAATTTCAGGACCTCACACTCTATTCCGTCATACAATACTAAATTTAGAACGATTTAGTACTTTTTGTACAATATAGTACACATTACGAAAACCCCATCCATATCTCAATTCCAGATGCCAACATAGACATCAATATTACATTTGAGGATTCCAGTTCTATCCCTTCACCCAACTTAGTACCACATAGTACTTTTTTTAACAACTATTGTACAGATTTCAAAAGCAATCCGCAAACGCCAACAGTGACATCTATTTCAAATATCAGGATTTCAGCGCCATTCCTCCACACAATACCAAATCTAGTACTATATAATAATTTTCGTACAATTATAGAACATGTTTCCAAAAACACCTTCATACGTAAACCCTACTTTCTGACCTTGGCCCTCATACCAAATTTCAAATCTTTAGCTCTATCGGTATTTCAGAATGTCATATACAAACAAAATGGTACCATTTTAGAACTTTTCGTTACCTTAAAGTTCAAATATGCAGAACCTTATGGTACATCTAGCCAGCCTGTACCATATCAATAACTCTCATTCCAAATTTCTGTTCACCGAATACCATGCTATACAATTGTACCAAATACAGTAATATTTAATACTTTTCGTGCACTTCTGGCACACATTTCCAAAGCCACCTCTTTATCACAAAACCTACCACCAACAGGGACCTAAATATCAAAATCCAGTTCACCATTAACCAAAATTTGCCAAATGTAGTACAATTAAGGACAGTTCGTACACTTAGTACACATTTCCAAAACCACGTTTAGTACTAGTACTAAAGTACTTTTCATATCCTTTCAGTACATATGTCCTAAATTTCAAGATCCTAGCTTCAGCCGTTTCGTCTGGGCGTAGTCAGTCAGTTATTTTACTACTCTTGTATATACATGTATATCATCAGCCGTATGTCTACAGAGAGTATACAGGGTGAGATAAAACAAGTAAAAAAGCTGTAAGTTCGGCCGGGCCGAACTTTTAATACCCTCCACCATTTGGTACAATTTTGGCAATTTCCAAAAAAAAAAATAAAATAAATAAATAAATAAATAAAAAAAATAATAAAAAAAATCCTTTAAAAATTCTGTTAAAATCTTAAAAATACCGAATGTCTATACGACGACGTATACCTGCATAGGCAACTTTTGTCATAAGTTATTACAACATTTAAATGCGAAACTTGAAGAAAAATTTTTTTATAATGTAGCTAAAATCATCAAAATACCGAATATAGGGGGTACCGTTATATGGGGGCTATACGAAGACGTGGACCTGCACAGACAATTTTCTGTCTTAGGCTGTAGTATCCATTACGAACTTCAAATGCCAAATTTGAAACAATTCCGGTGAATAATGTCGCTAAAATCATCAAAATACCGAATATCGAGAGGTGCCGTTATATGGGGGCTATATGAAAACTTGGACCTACATGACCCATTTAC